GACAACTAATTGGCTTTTGCTTTAGGACAGGTTAAGATTCTGATAATGGGGAGGAGGGCAATATTGTGACAATAGTCTGTCTGATTTTCACAGCTACATTTTAATTATAATACATTCCTGGGTAATGAAAGATGATAACCCTGGCATCTCAGGGCCGCCTGGTTCACTTTCTTTATTGTTCATCCTTTACTTTTTTCAGGTTTTTACCCATGTGTCACTTCAGTGAGGCCTTACCTGATTACATTATTTAAAATTTCATCTTATTATCCCAACCCCCCACTACTGGCATTTCTTATCCCGTTTCCTGCTTTATTTTTTGTTTTCTCTAACACAATATGTACTTTACTTATTTTTCTTGTTCATAGAGTATTTCTTCCTATTAGAATATAAGCTCCATGAAAACAGGAATGTTTGTTTTGTTTGTTTCTGTATCAATAACTGCCTGGAATAGTGCCTGTATATACATATTTGATAAATTTTGTTGAATGGATAATTTGGATTGACAAGAAGAAGGAGAAGTAAATATTAGAAATTTCATCATTTAGAAGTACAAGCTATAAAGATTAAGCCCTCTCTATTGAAATTCTAGTATGTATAAGCTTACTTTCTTTTTACTTTTTGGAACCATGAGAATTTTGTTCAATGGAAGGTAAATTTTAAATCCTTTTGTTTGAGGTAATTTGAATAAAAAGGAACAAGGGATTAGGAAAGAAAAACTAAAATATATATGACACAGTAGGAGTAGAATTTTTTGTAATGAAGGCTTTAGAAAACTAAAGTTGAACAGAAGAAAACTGAAGGTTAGGAAGTAGAACTAAACTCTTGTGTTTTAGGAGTGAGAGAGCTCAGATATCTTCATGTCAGAGGAACTGACTGACTGTATTTATGTTCTAAACACACATTTGAGCACACACTATATATACAGAGAGAGTATATAGTGTGTGTGTGTATAGTTAATTATATATGTATGTATAGCTATACATATACATACATGTATATAAAGCTTTTATTTTTTGATAGGTCATAGTCGAACAATTGTTGGAATTGAAGAGAGAAAAAACCGAACATTATGTTTACTAATATTTGATCCCGGATGTCCTTCTCAAGAAATGCAGAAACTATTAAAGCAAGACATGGAGGCTAGCAATCTCAGGCAACTCCGAAAATTTGTGGGAAATTTGAAACATAAACAATACCAGATAGTGACAATACAGGGTGTTCTTACTTCAGAGGAGAAAGTTGTAAGTATCTAAATATTTATTGTGTTATGCTTCATAAACAAATTGAATTTTAGAGTTTGAAATTTTAGTTAAAATCAATATTATCCCTTTGTATCTCCTAACACCTTATTCTGTATCATTAAGTTGGCAAAGATATTTTGTTCTTATGTCATATAATTTCTGGAGTGAATATCTTTAAATTTCAAATGGTCCCTAGCTACTTTCGAATAATTTACTCAGAGCTTCATAAAAATACTCAATTTTATAAAAAATAGTTGAGGATTTTTTAAGTCTCAATTCATTTTACTATTACATTTTTTAAATTAAATTTATTGGAGTGACAGTGGTTAGTAAAATTACATAGGTTTCAAGTGTACAATTCTAGAATACATCATCTATATATCACATTGTGTGCTCCCTACCCAGAGTCAGTTCTTCCATCACCATGCATTGACCCCGTTTTCCCTCTTCTACCATCCCCCTCTTCCCCTTTACCCTCTGGTAACCACTAAACTGTTGTCTGTGTCTCTGAGTTTTTGTTTCTTTGTCTTGTTCCTTTGTTGGTTTCAGTTTTATATCCCACATATGAGTGGTCAGAATTTTTCTGACTTATTACGCTTAGCAAAATTATTTAATTTTTGATGTCAAGTGAATGATGAAAAATGGCAACCATGTGTAACATAAATAATAAGAAAACATAAATCATATTGGTCTTATAATTATTGTGTACGAAATGTGTTTCGTGTGATTTGTGAGGCTCTATGTTATGCATTTGGGCATATTGAATATACACAGTTCTAGAATTTAACTTCAATCCAGTTGCCTCTTTATCCCTTGCAGTTAAGTGATGAATGGCACATTATACAAAAATTTTGAGGAATTGAAAACCCTTCACTTGGTATAAAGAAGCTATGTGATAGCATACCAAGTCTAGAAAGTGTACAATTCTCAGAATTTTAAAGGAAAAAAATGTCCCTATGAGAGTACTTCACATTGATTTGTTTCTCTCTAAAGAGAGAAGAGACAGAGGACTTAAGAGGAGCATTTATGGAGAATAACAGGATCATGGGGGAAAGGACTAAAATTGTTTGAAATGAGAGAGAGAGAGAGAGAGATGGGTAATCTTTTTAGTCTCACAACTTGGGATATAAAGGCAAAGATTGTTTAAAAGGTCATTCAGTTTAGTTATGATGCATTAAAGGTTTTTTTGCAGTGACTTAAATGCCAAAATTTCATTTTCACCCTATTATTAATATGGCTGAATAAAGTTATAGGTTAATCTTAATTATTATAAAATGCAAAGATGCTTGTTCACGAGCATACAGATAACTTTTGAGAGCATGGTTGGCTTAAATATTATAATGGAGTCTAGCAGAACATTTAATTAGCTGTTATCTTTGGTTTTGGAAACTAAGACCTTATTGGTGGTGTTAGAATTCTAAAGATATACATTTGTTACTGTTCCCATTTTTTTTTTCTTTTTTGAGTTATGGACAGTAGCTGTATCTTTAACCATAAGAATCAGAACTTGGCTGACACTGTATAATACTACCAGATAGAGAAGGAATAATAATTATAGTATGATTATAATTGTATTACAGCATGTCTTTGAATAACATCATTTTGTTCAACATCATTTAGTTACAACGTTCATGAGATACTGCAGGAACTTCATTCTTGTTTATATCAATTAGCCTATGATAAAATTGGTTTTGTTATACATCGTTTTGCTTAAAGTCGCAGAACCCATCGTCTAAGTGAGGACTTAACTGTATTAATAAAAGTAACACTTGTATAATGCTGACTTTCTATTAGGTGCTATCCTAAGCACTTCACATATGTTAATTAGTTTAAGCTACACAACTGCCCTATAAGATAGGCACTGTTTTTCCCATTTTTCAGATGAGGATGCCTAGTCTCAGAGAAGTTATATTCTTAAAGCCACACAGCTACTAAGTAAGAGTCAGGATTCCACTTCAGGCAACTTACATCCAGAGCCTTGCCCTATGTTACTTCTTTTGTAAGGATAAAAGGCTCATAGTTTCATGTTTGCTAAGTTTTTGTGTGAACTAGTTCACATTTATTGTTGAAAAGGTAGGATATTATATTTTGAAATATGAAAAAAAAACCTTGCCAGTTTAACATAACATTGTTTTTGCATATTGCTTTAAACCCTTTGTTTTTGTTTTTTTTTTCTTTTTAAGCGTCTGTGTCTTACAATTATCTATCCTTTTTAACAGTTTTATATATACATTGTAGAAGTTCAGCAAGTATTGATATACTGATTTATCTGCAAACCATCAGATAAAAATCTGCAGCTTAAAATAAGGGCAAAGAGTGATTTTACTTTTATTTGTTTTTACAGCTCATTTTTAAAACATCTTTTACCTCCTAAGTGATAATTACAATTTTAATTGTAGGACTTTCAGAACAAATTTTGGATTTTTAAAGTATCCCAAAATGTAGATATTTATAATGACGTTTTATGTTTTGTTCATCATATTTGGACTTTAATTAATTATAATATTTTAATAATTATGCAGCTGTCATTCAAGGAGAGCAATCGGTTTCTCAGAAAAAGTTTTTTTATCCTGGCAACTGTCTTACAATTACCATAAGACATTTATTTCTTCCATATATATTTTTGAGTATCTAGTAATTCTAAACTCTGTTCTGGATGTTGAAGCACTTATTTTACAAAATATCTCCTAAACAAATTCAGTCAAGTAATAAATACAAATCTATTTAATAGCCAGGTTCTTCAGTTCCTTTCACATTTTGATATGTAGTTAAATTACATCACTGCATTCTTTGTTTTCCACTGTGTAACCCTTGTACTCTTAATTTGATTTAACTTTGTTTTAATTTAGCTTGGGGTAATATGCCTTGATTTGCAACTCAAGTTGTAAATAGTACAAACGTTTAAGTTTTTTAAGGCCATAATGAAGAAGATGATTTTCTTAAAGGTTCTGTCATAGCTCGCTCTCTCTCTCTCTCTCTCTCTCTCTCTCTCTCTCTCTCTCTCTCTCTCTCTCNTCTCTCTCTCTCTCTCTCTCTCTCTCTCTCTCTCTCTCTCTCTCTCTCTCTCTCCTCCCCTCTCTCTCTTTCTTTCTCTATTTATCCTTTGCTCTCTTTTTCCCTGTCTTTCTCTCTCTGACTTTAAGCCAGCATTTTTACTTTTGACTCATTATTCCATAAAAAGTGAAATTTTCTTTTTACTCTTTCTGTTTTGTCTTTTATCTGGAATTTTACTTAATTTATTTATGGCTTGGCTTTAAAAATGTTTATTTCTAATTTCCTAAATTCAAAGTTGTGATTTTACTTAAGGAATTTTCATTATCTTGAAAATTTTCCAGATTTTATCTTCTAATATTAGAATGACAATTAATAAGTGCTCTAGTTAATTGATTTCTTGCTTACAATTAACGATTTTTTAAAAATTCCTTTTCAAGGCCAGGAGACAAGCCTCTCAAGTCTTTACAGCTGAGAAGATCCCTTGAAGAATTAAGCGTTTCAGTGATTGTGGAATTTTATTTTCCAAATTCTGATATTAAACTCCTTAATACAGCTTATGAATCTGTGAACTCTCTAAACACTCAACTTTTAGTTTCTAAAATGCCTAAATTATACCTTTAGTGCTTCATTATTTAGTAGTTATTTCAATAAAATAATCTTATTTCATTGTGAGTTTTGTATTTTCTTACCCATATTCAGAAACTGGTTCTGTATTATGGTCATATGTAATATTTATTGGGTTCTTACTTATGTTAGGTAATCTTAGTATTTTTCATGTATTAATTAGTTTAATCTTCAAAATAGTTCTGTGAGACAAGTATTATTAACTGTGTGAGGAAGCTGAAGCTCTGTGAGATTAGTGATTTGCCTGGGAAAATGATTGTAATCCAGGGTGTGAACCCAGGCTGTCTCGTTTCCAAGCTCTTACCAGCATGATATTCTGCTTTCTTCTGCTGTATAACACACATAATGAAATTCCCCCCTTATTGCTTAGAAATAAGCTTAATATTTAACAGGAGGAGCTCTAAAAAGAAGGTTTTGCTTTTGTCAAATATTCACACTCTTACCCATACAACGGTGCTTTAGAGCCTTATATTTAATGTGTCCTATAAGGAAGAAACTTACAGATTGCTGTGGATGTGCCATGTAAGGTTGCAAGAAAGAATACTACTCTGGCCAATTTATGCAGAAGGAAACTCACTGGAAGATTTTCAGAAGAGCTCACAGAATCCACAGGTAACTAGGGAGCTGTACTGGAACCAAGGCAACTCTAGAGGCTAGAATACGGTCTCATTTATAGCAGACCCAGGTTAGGAGCCCAGGAGAATGTCTGCTAAAAATTCAAGTTCCGGAGAGGGCACATCTGATGGGCATGATGTGTGCCATGACAGAGGCTGTTTCTCAGAAGGATGTCAGGGTAGATAAGGAAATGAATATTAAACAAAAAAGAAAGGCCACAAACGTCTACTATACCATGAAAAATAAGAATATACTTGAATGAAGTCTTATAAATATTAGCTACTCCCATCAAATACTGAAAGTTGCCTTCCAAGAATGAATAATATTGCCAATAGGGAAATTTTGGAAACCATCCTTTCTAATATTTTGTCCTTCAGACTGGCAACCAAGTTTCTATTTTATACCCCCATCCAGTTATCATCCTTTTTCATGCCACCATTATCTCTTACCTAGATAATATAATAACCCAACTGGTCCCTGTCTTGATCTGTCAGTCCACCTTCTACACTGAAGCCAAAACATTCAATACAAATGTGACTTGGTCACTTCCTAGTGGAGCCCTCTTCACTGTACATGGATAAAATCCAGACAACTACACAATCTGGGCCCTTCTTGCCTCTCCAGGCTCATTGCTTACCACTCTCAAAATTTCACTGCTTTCAGCCTAAAGCCATTTGCCAAAATATTGCTGGTGCTGCCTAGGGCCCTTCTCCCCTTATTCTCCACCTCTTAGAAGTGCTTCCAGAACTGCTCAGGTCTGAATAAATGCACCTTCTGTTTAATAAGTAATGTCTGTCAAAGTGTACATCAGTGATCTGCAAACTGCGTCAGTAGCTTCAAGGTGCCTGGCACATATGGAACTTTAAATACTATTTTAGTGAAATATAAAATACAGTTTTAGTAAAGCAGTGATAGAAAAATATTAGTTTGAAAAATATTAGTTGGATATCCCAACCAGCCATCCCTGTGCAAATCTTTTCCCCTATCAGAGCAAACTAATTTCTGTAGGATGATAGAAGACATTGAGAAAGTTCTTTAAGAAGTAACAAGGGTTAAAAATGGGACGGTTCCCACAGTCTGAGCAGGTGATGGAATTCTAAACCCTCTCATTATCAGCATTTTTGGCCTCAATACCTTTTGATGCTCAAAAAATACTAAAGTCCCCAAGAAGCTTTTGTGGGTTATATATTTCTACATTTGCCATATTAGAAATTAACCCTAAGACTTGGAAAAAAACAACACAGAAGCGCATACTCCATTAGTCGTAGCCATCAGAACAGTGCCGTAAGAACTATCATTTAGCCCCTGTCCATTGAGCATCTTTCTATATGCACATGTTAACAGTTCCACATATGAAATTCCAAATTTGATATTTTCAAGGAATGACATTTTGCACATGAACAGTTGCCAATTTGTATATACAATCAGTCCCACGTAAGGAGTATGCGTGTATCAATCTCAAGACTGGGCCAATTTCATTTTTATTAGTCATAATCCTCTTCCTCATCTTCACCTTCCTCAGTTTCTTCATCTTCCTCGTCCGGAAGTACAGCTGCTTCTTGTGCAGCCCTGAAAACTTGCTCCTCTTCCACAGTAGGGTCATCCATTTCTGTAATTTCTGGTCCACTGGGATATTCTTGACAAACTGGTGGTGGAACTGGGGGTGTATAGCTATCTGGGCTATATTTATGACCCCAGCCTATGTAGAGATTTTCAAACTTCCTATAAGTTAAAAAAAAAAGTAAATCATTATATAATTTTTCATTAAGAGAAGTTGACCCTCCTTTTCTGTAGTGAAAAGTATTTAAGAGTATCATAGTCCCATAATTTTAAAATAATATATTAAAATGTGTTAGAGATGAAACATCCTTAAGTGATTCTTCTACCACAGGGAATTTCTCTGATTCAAACTGTCTAAGCTGGTGAAGAAAGCCATGGACCAGACCCTGTCAAAATGTGCCCTACACCCAGATCACAGCCTTTGAGCATCTAGTTTCAGAAAAACAAAACAACTAAGTTAAAAAGTTAGTACCTTTCTTAGAGTTAAAAAGAATTGAAATTTCCAACCTAGCAAACACTTGATTGAATGGGGAATGGGCTTTTGGTTAAAAACCTATGTGTGATTTTTCAGGCCCAACCATGGGCCATTACAAAGGCTTTTCCTGGGAGGCCTCACAGGGAATTGGCCCTCTCCACTCCTGCCTTGGTGCACAGTCCATGCACTGCAGCCTCTAAGGGGACTCTGGCCTCTCGGCCTGCCATGCGCATCACATATTTGCTTTCCTGGCCCAGGTGCCTTCACTCCTAGGTCTCTGCCTGTCGTCTTCAGCAGTGGTCTTCAAGTGCCTCTGCCAAGGCCTCCTTATCGGTGTTCGGGGAGAGAAAGGGGAAACCTTAAAGACACTTTATCCCACTTTCAGTACCATTTTTCCCTAGCCTTCCCCCACTTCCTCTGGCCCCCTGGTCTATAAAACTGCAAGAGCCTTATGTTGGGGGCTCCCTCATCAGTGAGATAACCCCCATATTTGTGCTGACCCACCTGACTTTCTACTGGAGTGCCATTCCATGAGGGAACATGGAACAAGGCAGTCAGTGCTTTCTCTTGCTTTTACCATCACAGTAAGTAATTAAAGGCTTAACACTTTCATTTTTGGCTTGTTGCTTTAATGGCTACTCTGACACTTGCTAGCTCAGCTGTCCAACTCAGCTGAGCTTCTGACACTGGATTATTAGGTAAGAAGTGGAAGCATAAGAAAAATGGAAGTGTAGGGTGAGGGGTAAAGGACATTCAGTATCCTCTTGATCCTAATTCTCTTGAAAGTGATAGCCTAAATAATACAATTTTAAATTATCTTTTATCAAGATGTCCAACTAAAATGATGTAAGATTTAAACTAAACACTGCTTAGAATTAACTCCATTAAATGAATACATGGATTATTCAAATAATTACAGAAAAAAAAACACTAACTTCATTAACTGGATAATTCAGATGAAAAGGCAGAAGTCTAAATTACTGTTTTAAATTTGACGCTTTACTGTATACTATTGGTGTTTAGATAAATTTTACGTCACACAAAACTTGACATGCTAAAGATGAGTTAAAACAAAAGTAACTTAAGATCCCAGTGGTAACTTGTACTTTGCAGAACTTAAATAATCACAATATTAACTTTGTAAGTTGACAGGTACTTACTTGCCATTGCAAAAAGCATATGCTCCAGGCCAAAGGTTGGACCTCAGAACAGCGATTGCGTATTGAGGAACAACATTTGAGGACAGCCGTGTTGTCCAAGGTGGCGTATTCTGGATCTCTATAAACCAACGAGAAATTCAAAAGCTTAACTACTAAACAGACAAGGTTATGTTGTGTAACAGAGAAGCTGTTTTTATACATCGTAAAACAAGCATATGTGACATAGAAATAAAAGTTGTAACATTAGTAGCTTAACATAAAACCAGGAGGGAATTTTATGAACGTAGTGGAGCAATGAAATTTGGGTGTTTACACACAATATAACAATGTCATGTGTTTATGGTCTACAGAATGCAAGACAAGAAGGATAAACAGATGACTATCAGCATTTCAGTAAGAGCTACAGCCAATTTAAGTTTCCCTCCCTGCGTGGCACTTCTTGAACCTCTGTCAAAGAAGTTGGTGTGGCCAGCTACATTCTTTACTCTCCACCATATACTATAGTGCACATGCGCGCGCGCGTGTGTGCGTGTGTGTGTGTGTGTGTGTGTATGTGTGTGCGCGCGCGCGTGTGTGTAGATATACAGATATAGTATATCTCGTACATAATATATATACATAGAATTATATATGTAGTATATTCATGTATATAATATGCTATATGTAATACATAGTACATTATATATGCTATCTATACATATAATATACGTAGTATATTATGTAGTTTGTGTAAAATTACCTAAATCTTCAGAGATTGGTGTCAAGAGAGGAGGCCCCACTTCTTCTATGTAGTCAGGCTCTTCTTTTTCTTCTTTTTCTTCCTCCTCTTCCTCTTCCTCCTCACTTTTTTGTATGGGGTTGTACCAATTACAGCGACCCTGAGTATGAATATTGCAAGATGAGAACCTTAAAATTCCAGAATATTCATTTGGATTGAAGCAATCGTCTGCACAAGGTCCTACTGTGTGGAAGCTTAATCATTTATTCACCATACATTTATCCAGTGTTATTTTGATCTAGGTTTTTTCAAGCAAAGAGTGTACTATTTATTTCAAGAATTTGCCGACTTTTTGAAGTTACAGAACATTTATATTTTTAAAATCAGCAGTACATTAGTAAACAAAAGGTAATGCATTTTACTAATTTGTAATTTTTAAAAAAGAGGTAAGGTACTATTGTTATTAATAAAAATTAAAATGTGATAAGATTAGGTATGGAGGTGTGGGGTTATAATTTCTGATCTAACTAACTCTTATCTAGAGATCTATAAGAATATCTCATATGTAGGTCAAAATATAATGAAGACTTTCTACCTGGAGATGAGTCAGGATAGCAGAGTGATTAAGAAGATGGACTCGGGATCCATTCTGCCTGTTCATATCTGTCCCTGTTGCTTATGAGCCATTTTCCCTTTTTCACATTTCCTAAACTCTCTGCCTCAGTTTCCTCATCTGTAAAATAACGATATGAGATTTTCATACAGTTATTAGGATTCAATGAGGTAATACATATAAAGTGCTCTTAAGAGCACCCGGCAAAATATGTGCTATACAACTGTTATTTAGCGCTGTTTGCATGTTTTTGTTTTTATTATAATCTTTGATTGTTCTTGGCATAAAAGCTCCATGGATTATAGAAAGAGAATAAAAGAACTGTTCCCCAAATTAACACACCCATCTATATTTAATGTATAAAAAATAATTTCACAACACATAAATCTAAATCCTTACATAACTTGTCAAATAATCATAGAAATAACTATTTTATTTTTGTTTGGAAATAAAAATCTGAAGATCTCAGGTCTATACTACTTATCAATTATATAATATTTGGCAGTTATATAGTATTGTGTTTTTACTTGATTTTTTAACGGCCTCTTTCTCTGTCTAGAGTCTGAAGGTCTTTGTGTTGTATATATGTATGCATTATAGACCAAATTTAATAAATATTTGCTGATTGGATGATAGACTGAGAATTGCAAAGCCCCTACCTGAGGGAGAATATGTTGTACATGATGAACCCAATTGGATAGGGATTCCACTAAATCAATCACTTGGAGGCCTTCAAAATCCGGGTTTTCTTCAAAGTTATCTCGCCCGCCTTCTACCTCTTCCTCCTCCTCTCCTTCCTCTTCAACAAACTGATAGAATCCTAGGGGGCTGACGTGGGTCCCTGCTGAAATTCTGGCAATTTGTGCTCGTAAGTAATTACTCTCATTTCCTGGGAAAGGTGGGTAACTTACGATGGGGCTATCCAATTGCCCAGTGAAAAATTTCTTGATTTTTCTTGCAATAACAATTTGTGCAGGTGTAACAGGTGGTAACTTCACCCATGGTCTTCCTGGTTCGTTGCAGACAAAGTAGACATACTTGTTGGCACCTGCTCTACTTTCTTCTTTTGGGATAGCCTGTGGGGCCTTATAAGAGGGCCTTGGTAATTCATCTTCGTCACCTTCTTCACCTTCACTGTCTCCATTGTCCCTCTCTTCAGTTACGTCTTCCTCTTCTACCTCCTCCTCATCTTCTCCCTCACGAAATTCCACTTCAGCTACAATATAATTCATTTCCAGACCAAAGATCTTGCCCCAGAAACGGCATCTTTGGATTGGGTGGGTGTCAGTAAGCTGCTTAAGGGCAAGAAATATGCGATAAGTCTCATCTGTGCCCAAACCAACTCCAGATTGGTCAAAATAAAAAGCTGACTCCATTACATTTGGAAGAGAGTTTTCTGCCTGGGAATACAAATGCTGCAGTTAATATTTTATCAGTAAAGAGAACTGCTTGCTTTCTTTTTCAGTTTTAAACATCTTCATATTAGCTCTACTTTCTCTCCACACCACTTCTTTGACATTTCTTTCAAGATTTAGATCAAACTGTATTAATGTCTGAATTTCAATTCTTTCATTACTTATAAATGTAGCTTCTGCCGTTGTGTCTTACATTCATCAATATATTATAACAGTTACCTTGTGTGTGTGTATCTTAGGCAGAGATCATTTAATAACCATTATGAATAAAAAAGTTCAACATCTCATTTACAAAAAATATTTATGTGGCCCCTTTACTATCCTGAAGTAATATACTGTAACCTACCTACACACATATATTTACCCAAAAAAAAGTTTATAGGTATGTTTATACAGGCATACCTCATTTTATTGTGTTTTGCTTTATTGTTATTTATTGCTTCACAAATAACTACATTTTTTACAAATTGAAGGTTTGTGGCAACCTTGTGTTGAGCAAGTCTATTGGCACCAGTTTTGCAACAGCATTTGTTCACTTCGTGTCTGTGTCACATTTTGGTAATTCTAGCAATATTTCAAACATTTTCATTGTTATATTTGTTTTGGTGGTTGGTGATCAGTGATCTTTGATGTTACTATTGTAATTGTTTTAGGGCACCACGAATCATGGCCATATAAGATGGCTACTCAACCAATAAATGTGTGTTCTGACTGCTCCATTGACCGCTGCTTCCCCATGTCGCTCCCTCTCCTCGGGCCTCCTTATTCTCTGTGACACAACAATATTAAAATTGGGCCAGTTAATAACATTACAATGGCCTATAAATGTTCAAGTGAAAGGAAGAGTCACACATGTTCCTTGAAATCTAAAAACGATGAAGTTTAATGAGGAAGGCATGTTGAAAGATGAGATAGGCTGAAAGCTAGGCCTCTTGCGCCAAACAGCCAATTTGTGAATGCAAAGGAAAAGCTTTTGAAGGATTTAAAAGTACTACTCTAGTGAACATGCAAATGATAAAGTGAAACAACCTTATTGCTAATATGGAGAAAGTTTTAGTGGTCTGGATAGAAGATCAAAGCAGCCATAAATTCCCTTAAGCCAAAACCTGATCCAGAGCAAGGCCCTAAATCTCTTCAATTCTGTGAAGACAGAGAGGTGTGGAAGCTGCAGAAGTAAAGGTTGAAGCTAGAAGAGGTTGGTTGATAAGGTTTAAAGAAAGAAGCCATCTCTGTAACATCAAAGGGCAGGGCGAAGCAGCAAGTGCTAATGTAGCAGCTGAGGCAAGTTATTGAGACTAGCTAAGACAATTAAGGGAGGTGGCTACACTGAACAACAGATTTTCAATGTAGGTGAAACAGCCATATATTGGAAGAAGATGCCATTTAGGGCTTTCATAGCTAGAGAGAAGTTAATGCCTGGCTTCAAAGCTTCAAAAGACAGGCTGACTCTCTAGTTAGGGGCAAATTCAGCTGGTAACTTTAAGTTGAAGCCAATGCTCTTTTACCATTCCACAAATTCTAGGTCCGGTCCCCTAAGAATTATGCTAAATCTACTCTATAAAAGGAACAACAAGGCCTGGATGACAGTACATTTGTTTAAAACATGGTTTACTGAATATTTTAAGCCCACTGTTAAGACCTACTGCTCAGGAAAAAAAAAAGTATATATATATATATATAATATATATACATATATACATATAATATATATGTTTAGAATATAGAATAATTTTAAAATATAGAATATAGAATCATCTATAGAATATAGAATAGAGAATCAGCTAGAGAATAGAGAATAGAGAATATAAACTATATATATATATATATATATATATATATATATATAGGGTTGTCGGAAAAGTCATGACATATTTTTTTCTATGTTTTTCATTGCAAAAATGCATCATGACTTTTCCGACAACCTTTATATTCCTTTCAAAACATTACTGCTCATTGATAATGCATCCGGTCACCAGAGCTCTGGTGGAGATGAATGAGATTTGTGTTGTTTTCATGCCTGCTAACAGCAAGCATTCTCTAGCATGTGAATGAAGTGATTTCAACTTTTATGTAAGAAATACATTTCATAAGGCTACACGTACATAGTGATTCTGCTGATAGATGTAGACAAAGTAAATTGAAAACTTTCTGGAAAGGATTCACCATTTTAAATGCCATTAAGAACACTCGTGATTCATGGATGGAGATGAAAATGTCAACATTAACATGAGTTCAGAAGAACTCTCATGGATAACTTTGATGAATTCAAAACTTCAGTGGAGGAAGTAACTGCAGATATGGTGGAAACAGCAGGAAACAGCAAGAGAACTAGAATTAGAAGTGGGGCCTGAGGGTGGCTGGTTAGCTCAGTTAGTTAGAGCACAGTGCTCACAACACCAAAAGGTTGCTGGTTCGATTCCCACATGGGCCATTGAGATGCACCCTCCACAACTAGAATGAAACAATTACTTGACTTATAGTCAGGGCGGCAGGTTAGCTCAGTTGGCTAGAGCGCAATGCTCATAGCACCAAGGTTGCCAGTTTCATTCTCACACCCTCCACAACTAGATTGAAAAAACTACTTGACTTGAAGCTGAGGGGGCCTGGAAAAACACACTGTTCCCCAATTAAAAAAAAAAATAGTGGGACCTGAAGATGTGACTGAATTGCTGCAATCTCATGATAAAACTTCAATGGGTGAGGAGTTGCTTCTAATGAAGAAGCAAAGAAAGTGGGTTCTTGAGATAGAACTTACTCCTGGTGAAGAGTGTTGAAATGACAACAAAGGATTTAGAATATTACATAAACTTAGTTGATAAAGTAGCGGCAGTGTTTGAGAGCACTGACTTTAGCTTTGAAAGAAGTTCTACTGTGGGTAAAATGCTATCAAACTGCATCACATGCGACAGAAAAATAGTTCTGAAAGGAAGAATCAGTCAATGTGGCAAATTTCATTGTTGTCTTATTTTAAGAAATTGCCACAGCCACCCCAGCCTTCAGCCACCGCCACCCTGATCAGTCAGCAGCCATCAACCTCGGGGCAAGCCCCTCCCCCAGCAAAAAAATGACAATTTTCTGAAGGTTCAGATGATGGATAGCATTTTTTAACAAAGTATTTTTTAATTAAGGTATGTACATCGCTTTTTTAGACACAGTGCTACTGCAACCTTAATAGACTACTATATACTATAGTCACTATAGTATAGTATAAACATAACTTTTACATGCACTAGGAAACAAAAATTTGTGTCACTCACTTTATTGCAATATTCGCTTTACTGCAGTGGTCTGAAACTGAACCCGTGTCTCCATGGTATGCCTGTGTACGTTTTTTACATATTACTGCATATTTTATAAATAATACTTATTATATACATATGGCATTATATAGGGCAAATAAAAGTCAACATGGTATCCTATATAGAGAGTAATGTATAGGATAAATAAAAGGAACATATAATAAGATCTGTACTCAAGCATGACTATTTGAAGACATAATTTAGTCAGATGCTTGCCTCTACTTACAATAAATAATTTTGGATTTACGATGCAGAAAATAAAATAATTTCATAAAAAGAAATACAGGAAGGGTCGGCCGAGTGGCTCAGTTGGTTAAGAGCTCGCTCAAGAGTTTGAGCTCTGAGCAACAGCGGTTCGAGTCCAGCCCGAGCTGAGCAGCCGCTGAGCTGCCAACAGGTAGCAGGATGGCTCAGCTTAAAAAAAAAGAAGAAGAAGAAGAAGAAGAAGAAATACAGGAAAATGAAAAAGCAGAGTCTCAAGTGTACTGTAGAAAAATATTTGTGAGAAAATAACCTTAACTGAGGTAGGGATAACTTCCAAGACAAACTTTAGATCTCCAAGATGGAGAAAAATTGACAGAACTTCTCTATTCTTACAAATGATCTACTCTTATTTATAATTTCAGTGTCAAAATAAGCATAATGACACATTTCAGTGTTCCTGTCTTTGATATAGTTAGGTAAAACTCTTTCCTTGACATCTATTGCACCATTCACTCTTGATCCTACTCTGCTCTCTATAGCTATTTCTTCTTAGTTTCTTTAATGGGTTCTTTTTTCTTAATTGAGCCCTAAATATTAGTGTTCTCAAAATTTCAATCATCTTATCACTCAATACTTTATACTTGGAAGATTTCTTCCACATCACCCCAAGTAATACCTGGTTGTTTAAAATTTACCTCTCTCACTCTGACTTTACTCCTATGTTCCACACCCATATTTCTAGCCACCTATGAAAATTTTCCATCTGAATGTTCTCCATATATGTCAAGTTAAGAATGAATTTGTATTTCTCTCAAAATCTTCTCTTTTTTGTATATACTCTATCTTCTTGAAAGATATAACTATTCACTGTTTCCCAGAATAGAAATTTCAGTCATTCTTGCTTCCTCTGACTCTCTTAACTTTTCATATTTAGAGTCTTGCTGTTTCTACCACCTAAAAAGCTATTCGCATTACCCCCTCCTCTTTAACTCATTTCTACCATACTAATCTCCACCCTGACCACTGTCCTGTCACAGAAAGCTTCTGATTCTCTCCTCCTTGTCCTTATTCCTTCATTCTCCACATTACTATTAGAATAGCCTTTCTAAACCATGTCAGACCATGCTATTCTCTATTTAAAAGCCTCTATTTACTCCCTATTGTATACAAGAAAGAAATTTCTTATCAGTGCACAAAGAGCAGTCTGGCTTTAAGCACCTTGTTTTTGTCATTTCCATCACTCATCCCCTCAAATCTATGAATCAATTTCCTACACATGAAATAATCTTCCTCAACATTTTATTGTTCTTTCTGGCCAGAATTTTATTCCTTATAGTCTTCAGTTGGTGAACTTCTCCTTATCCTTTATGACCTAAAGGAAATACCACCTCCACTGCAAAGCTTGCCCAAGTCCTAATGACAGTTAGTTGCTCCATTCTGTCTCAGAACATGTCAAAACTATATAATAATAGTTGTTACTAT